GAATCAATATCAGGAAAACGCGCAACGCTGCTCCAATAAATATGTCCCGGCAAGCAAACGAAAAAGCGAATCGATGAAATATTAATTACGTTGAAATTCATTGGAAGCTTTGGACTCCTGTTACGATTTAATATTTAATATCAATGTAACATGTTACTTTTATATTTAACTATTCGTTCATACTGATATTATTCATATGTATGCAATTATACATAAAAAAAAACATTTCATGCGACGCATTCAGCATATATTCATGAAATTCATGAATTAGCATAAGAACATCATTAAATTTGTGAGCCAGTAAATCATTATTTATGGTCACTTATATTACACTCTATGTGAATGTCAAAAAGTTCGAGAAGCAATAAAAGAATACATGATAATAGAGTCATTACATGTGTAGTTTTTATGCACATACAGATGTACGAGAAAAGAATCTAGAGATAATGTAAATTTATAAGTAACACAAATTTCTAGACACTTTGTATCGAAGTTTTATGCTATATTTTTCTGTTAGTTTCTTTCCCCTACAATATGCAACCTATACTATTGTATACCTAGATAATAACAATATCGGTTCAACAAATATTCTCTGGCAAAATGAGAATCATCTAAATGAGAACTCTTCAACGTCGGAACTGCCAGACAAATTGAAATGAGCCACTTCAAGTTTCTTCTACAATTAAAACGTACAATTCCTTTTCAATTTCAGTATTTACTAATTACACAACATAATCCACCAAAAATATCAATGAACAGACCTTTATAATTTGCACATGAATGATGAAATAGAATAAAATATAAAAATACAATTTCTGCTTTGTGACGTCTTATAAGGTGCTTAACATGATTATGAATCGTTATTAAAATATTAATACGATATCGAAACTTTGATTAAAGTGTAAAAATAACTTTGGTAGTATTTATTTCATACGAAACATTCGAATTGCTGAATAGTGTACACGTGAATGCCTTTAACATTCATCAAGTAAATAACAAGTGCAGTAATGATTATTGTACTTCCCCCAAAGCTTTTATCAGGAAACATTCGGGGAAGCTGGTGATACTCCAAACACGATGAAAAAGAGTAATTTGATACGCGGGGATTTTTCATACAGATCCGAAGGAAAAAGAATATATTTCCGCGAAACATCGATAAACGTAAAAGGCTTTCATTCGTTCGATATGCGACTTCGATACACTCGGGTCTCGGCTCTCGTGCAGTTTATCATAAACGTATATTGCATCCTGGCCCCAAACATCGGAATTTATGTTCCATCGTTCATTTTGTTCTGATATCTGTGCTCTCGCGCGAAACGACGCCGATCAAAGTTCAACTGTAAAACACATATGCGTCGGTCCGCGACTCGTTATATATATAATCTTCGGAGCATTCATAGTTCCATTTATATTTTCCTATCAAACGCGAACTGTGATTTATACGGATCTCGACACGGGGTGAAATAAAAACACTGGCCACGTGAGCTCGGTTCATAGTTTATTATTGACGGCGATAACGGGGCTAATTCGACTCCACGTACTGTAAGCTTCGGTTCAATTAATTGTCAACATGCCGGCTACTACGGTGGTTATCAATGACCCGAGTTCCATGGTTACTGGGAAATAATTAGAATTCGCGAGGCAACCGAATGAATATGTTTAGTAACCTGAATAATTGGATAATGCTGTAACGTGAAAATTGTGTACGAATAATTAATTAATTCTTTTTCTTCTTTGCTACAAAGAAATCGGTGGTAGATAAGACACCTAAGTTTCTCGTGGCAGACAACGTGTTAATTAACGCGATGTCACATGGTGTAAAAGTATTCTTATTAATTACATAAATATTAAAGTAATTCCCTTATGACTTAAATAAATTACTAATTAAATAAATCTTAAATTAATTTACTTATTGGTTCAATAATTTCTTAGAGACTGATTTAATTAATAATTTTTCAGGATTTTCTCCTCGAATTTGAAACTGCCTTCGACAATATGTAAATAAAACATTTGCTAAATTACTTGCTGATCAACGTACCGATGAACTTAATTATTGGGTTCATTGATATCTTTTTTTTGTAATTAAAGTTACTTTCATGATCACGTGTTTATTACGCAAATCTTCTTGCACGCGTGTATTCCGAGAATTAATTATCGATTTGTTTCTTAAGGAATTTGTTTACACTTTGAGCTGATAATTCGCAATAAAGAAACAATAATTTAGTGATTATCTTTCCTTATTGGTATCGTATATATGTAACTGATATAAAAATTCGCATTTTGTAGAGATGACTACACTTATTGCCGTCTTTTCTTTAGATAAACTTAAACATTCGTTTTGTTGTACTGTATTAACACGTTTGCGACCACGCATCACATAGAATGGCGGCCATATACTTGAGGACAACTTTGATTCCGCCTTTAACCTTTTGCCGACGAAGGTTCTTTGAAATATACAAAACCTTCAACGGATAAAACTGAATTATACATTAAATACTCAATTAATATAAAAAAAGAAAACTATGCGATGATCTCTTGCTGTTCAAGTAACTAAATCATTTGTCTGCGACTTAACACTAGAACTACCGGATGGGTCAAAATGACCCATTCATGATTTCTTTTTTTCCAGTTATTGAAAAGATAACGAATGTTTCTCTGAGAAATTACTAGAGAAATTGATTTAGTAATACAGAAACTACAGTGCAAATCAATTGAAGTCTTAATAGTTGCACCATTTAGTTTCTACAGAGAAATTTCAAAAAGACGGTTTGACTGTTTAGTAATTCTAGTGTTCTTCCAAATACGAAAATTTCATCTTGCCGAAATATCGACATCCGTCCGCGAAGGGTTAAAGTTTTATAGGGTTTGTTTATATACATTGTAGACAAATGCTAAGAATATATGTATAACGTACCACTTTCCTACTACATATTAGCAACAAAACATTTCACTTATTTCAATTCAAAGGGAAACGAACCATTTTACCTAACTTTTCCCTATTTCAAATTTGACCGTGGCAACGAATGTATTAAGAAACCAGTGTCAACTGTACAAAAGTGTCGATGAACGTTTACTTATCAGTCACCATGGATCAAACAATCAGAATAAACATTTGAATCCACTAATGAAATTGAACGTCCTTCAACCGTACGTGTCGAGCACGTCCGAAAGGAATTAGTGTTCGCTTAGACATTTTACAGTTTTCCACTGCCAAACGTCAATTCGATGTTAGGAAGCCTATCGGAAACGTTTATCGCGGAGTGCTCCAGTTCGCGTCAATTGCTTTGAATTCAGGACGAGGCTGGATCAGGGTTAGGGTAGCTAACTGGATTGTCGGAATTCGGGCTAATACAAGTCTATCAACTTATTTCGTCGATCAGTTGGACAGGTCGCAACTCTTGCTACGTCTCGATCTGCAACGAAAATGAAACTTCGGGTGTTCATGGATCCGAACGTGTTTTATCCGTGAAATATTGAATTTGATAAGTATTATTTGGTAAAAGTTTAAGTTGAATTTCGTCGATGTTTTTTAAGCTGAATTTCTGAGATATAAACCAACGAACATCGATTTTTCTAGTGGCAATAGAATAAATTGCACAACAAGTGTTTGTAAACCTAGTGTTAAGCAAACAGTATTTACTTTTGTATTTTCTATATATATAAATAGTTGAAACATGTTTAATTTTATTAGTGTAGGCACTTAAATTACTCTGATTATTTCAATCGTCGTGTGTTCTAGAATGATAGAGCATTAGATCTTCATTTCGTGTTCTTGAAGCGCTAGTTTCTAAAATTTATACGAACCTATTTTTCTAGAGATAATAAAGTGAGAATAAAGTGAGTAATGAACGTTCGTGTATCCAGTATCAAAGCTTAAGAATATTCGTTAACGATTAAACGTGAGTGATTCCTTTCATTATCGAACATCGAAATTAGATAAAAGGAAATGCGAGAAAATGGAGTGAAACGTAAGCAGAAATTGATTGGAGCCTCGGGGTGGTGTGTATTATAGAAGGTTAATGGCTGAGTAATACCGATTCTTTCGATAATTGTCCAATTTCCAATTACGAGGGAGAAGTTTCGCGTTCTTAATCAGTCAAGCATGAAAACGACCCAAATAACTCGGACTTAATTGGAATTAATGCATAATTCCGTGAGCAGAAATAGAAGTACATATTATGGATCAATTATTATGAACGTATTCATTAGGAAAAGATTGAGAAAATAAATAATTAACATAGAATTCAGTGCAGACTTTTGATTTACAGATAATTTGTAAATTATATTTTAAATTGATAAACTTTGATGAATTGAAAATTAGTTGATAAATTATATTATAGATGCATAATTATTTACTATGAAGATATTGCAAGTTCATTTGCTTCGAAGTAAATATATTAGAATAATCAATCCTCATGAAAATCATTTATACAATATACACAATAATTACATTTCAATTTTATTAGTATTTCTTAGTAAATTTAATTTCATTAGTATCTTTTAGTAAATCTAATTTTATTAGATTTTACTAGTATCTTCGATAAGCATGTAATTCTTCTTTCTCGCCCTTTAATTTTTCATCAGAATATATTACATTTCGCTTGCATCTGACGACTAAATACACACTTCATCATTTGATTTTATGGCGCAGCAATAAGAGATTCGTCAAACTGAACTCAACACTTGGGTTAACCAAGTTAATTAACGTAGACAAAGGAAACTACATGATCTCTTGCTGTTTGGGTGATTAAATCATTTGTCCATAACTTAGCCTTCCAAATACGAACATTTTATCTCATCGAAATGTCACTCGTCCGCAAAGGGTCGAACAAGTCAAAATTATACAAACAATATGACACACGACAACGAAACAGAAATGTTTAATGATCCCGTGCGAAATAAAATCCGACGTAAATAACCACGACAAATCCGTAACACTATCCGAGCCACCGCACGAAAATGTCTAATAAAGCATGTAAAACCGGAGCGTTTCAGCTTACCGAGCATCTTGACACCCTGGACAGGACTCAAGGGGTAAAAGTCCCCGTGAAGAGGGCAATGGAAGCCGACCCTGCGTTCCCTTCTTCTCGCCCTCCTGGTGAGCATGCACAGCAACACGCCCAGAGCGAGCATGAGTGCGCCCACCACGATACAAATTGGACCGAGGATTCGCGAGTTCCCTGTGAACGCGATCCTGGCTGCGTACGAATCCTTGTCCTCGTCTTCGCCAGGTCCGCGATAAGAGGCCGCTGTAACAACAGGCAACCGTTAGTTCAGTATACAGCAGGAATTCAAAGGGTTCTGAAAATAATTCCGTGGGGTGTCAACGACCCGACCCAATAGCCGATTGACGGCGAGAATACGGAGTAACGAGCTTTGAAGGCAGTGCCGGCGAATCGAGAAACAAGCGGACGAATATCGCGAAATAAGATCACGGTAGAGAGGCGCCATAGAGTCGGGAGCGAGTTTTGTAAAAGTGTGTTCGAGTTTTTGTTAATATTAACCCTTTGCACTTGGTTGTCGCTGCGATAGTGTAGGATAATTTGATAACTTATGAGTCACCGGTGACCGAAGCTTCGAAATTGCTTGAAAATAATTATAATAAGAACATTGATATTGAATGAAAATATTTAGTGACACGAGAAGATAGATAATAGTGTAATACGAGCACTGTAATAAACATTAACCCTTTGCAATTCATTGTCGTCGCGACATTGTAGGATAAGTTAATGACTTATGAGTCACCGGTGACCGGAGCTTCGAAATTGCTTGAAAATAATTATAATAGGAACAGTGATATTGAATGAAAATATTTGATAACAGTATTCAGTAAGACTTGTAATTATAATTTCCCTTAAACAGAAACCTGTTTATCTGAAATACGTATTGAAACCGATATCATAACTGCTTTCAACTTCTGGTTTGTAGGGAGTAAAACGAACAGTTAACCCTTTCGCCGCGACACGCTTGTGGAGAAATATGATCGCTGTGGACAAGTATTACTGACCTGTCCACACTAATATAGGAAATGCTATGACATACAACTTTTCTGTTCCCTAAAGTTAAAAAAGAAGTATCACATAGTGTATGTGCCACGAGCATAAGAATTTCTTTTGAGGTCATTTCAAAGAAAATTGTGAAGCCATTTTTTTAAACAGACATCTGCGTGGACTCTAGACACATGCTAAAAAATTAAAAAATCGACTTCCGAAGTTTTGTATTGTTTTGTTACTTATATAATTAAATTCTACTTCTCAAATCCTAAAAAAAATTGGATAGATTATTAAAATTCGTTTTCTGAGCATAAAGTTGTGTGAATCATTTAGAGACAATCAAAGTAATCAGTTTTAGGGAAGTTATTCAAATGAATATTTTCTCTGGAAAATTTGGAGGAACTTCTTATTCTTCGCCGATGACTTTTTTTGGTAGGAAGCCAGACTTACGATCCAGACAATTGAAAGTTAGCATTGTTGAAGGATTTTGTATAAACAATGTATCTCACGCCCGGTAGCAAATTAGCTTCGCAGCAAAGTTTTAGAAATCATGTTATTGTTGGAAACTTTTGTTAAATATGTGGGATTCCGACTTTCGTTTTTAACAGCGATTTCCGCTTTGTAAACGTGCGGATGCATCGCGCTAATTAGCAGTCTGTTGTGTGCAGGCACCTCGTGAACCTTCTGCCTTTGTGCAAATAGTTCCATCATCATTTATTCGACAAGAATGAAACTTGGATTTTTTAAAGGAAAAAGTAAGAGGGAATGTTTCCAAATAATAATATTTCGAATTATTATTATTCATTAATATTTATTTGAAGCCTTGACTTTAGATTCTTATAAATCATTTTTACTGTAACAACTTGTTTTTCTTTCGTTGAGAATTGTACAACAAAATAACTATCTAATAAAATACGAAATAGTATAGTTCTTACAGTGAATCGAAGTAATTTCAAACGTGGAAATCTTATGGTCTGCAAACCTGCTCAAGGTTTAAGAACTTAAAAAAGCTAATAATATCTTATTAATTGCTCAAATGAAGGACAAATAGGAGAATAGAAAAGAAAAGGTTTAACGAAGCTAGCGAAGGCTATAAATACGAAACTTCATAGTTCTTCACATTATTGTCTTTCATGATTGTGAATATTGAAAGTAAACCCAAGCGTTTGAATAGTAAACAACAAAGCATATCCAACAGAAGATTAAAATCAACACAACGGAATGAATATATCGAACTCGATATCTTTTTTAATTAATTTCTTTCCAATCACGAAAAATCAAATTTCATTCTGTGTTCTCGACTTATTGCAATCTTAATTACGAATGACAATACATCTTTAACAAAGCGCAAATGTTTCAAAATATTTACTATTAACACTAGAGCATCACCAGTCAAAATAACGTTTCAGTTTTCTTGTTCTATTGACATCAAAAAAGCGTTAAATACCCGAAATGACTTGAAAATTGAATAGTTTCACTTGAATATTATAATCAATATATAAAGAAACCAAAAAAAGTCTATTGTCACAATTTTCCTCAAGGTTACATATTAATCATATTAACACTAAAACTACCAGACGGAATAGAATGACCCCTTCGTCCTTTGTTTCTCTTGCAATTATCGAAAAGGTAACAGATGCTTTTCTGAGAAATGAGTAAAGAAATTGATCTTGCAATATTCAAAATGATTTGTGAGCCAATTGAAATCTCAATAAATGACACTTAGAGTTTCTGTAGACACTTCAGAAATTCAATTTCACTGCTTGGTAGGTTTAATGTTAACCTTTTGCACTCGAGAGGCGACTCTCAGTCATTTGATTGAACGCAACAAAATTATCAAATGAAAAATTCAATACAAAATTTTCAATAAGATATTAACACATGAAACAGAAATAAAACAATTGTGCACGCATAATTCATGCAAAATGTTCCTTCACGTAAGTAGCAAATAATATTGTTAATATTTCGTCAGAAAATCATGAATGTTTGTAACGAAAAATATTGTTGAGTGCAAAAGGTTAAAGGCTCGGTTGTTCCAGTGTTAAAACAATTACCGTCCGTTGCAGCTAACCTGGCACTCTCGTCGGAGTGCTCAGATTCGAAGGCGCACGCCTTGCCCACACAGATTTTCGGTTCTGGTGTATGATTCGCCGAGGCGCTCACGCACACTACTCGGGTCGCGCGAGGAGCCGTTTCCGGACTTGCAATTGGAGTTCTCGGGGCGACTGTCTCCGCCCCTATGACGTCACGAGTGCCAGGTTCGTTGGAACGGACAGTACCTGTATTCGTATCGGAGATCGCTTCCAACTGAATAACGAAAAATTATATAGACACGGGTTATCGATTAAATCCTGACCCAGGCGACTAAATAAACTATTGAAAATCAAAGTCGGCGCGCAATATTTCAAGCGGCAACCCAGTTCCATATCGTACCGAGGAATCACGGGAAGAACGCGTCAACATTTCTCTTCTTTTAACTTCGAGCCCCTCGTTTTTGCACAATACGCGCAGCGCAGGAAGATTGCGCGTGAATGATCCCCGCATTAAACGAGACCTCATTTACGCGACAATATGTACCCGGTGGCTGGAAATCTCAAACATCTGATTGGAATGTCACCCCGTGGAACGTGAAATACGACGATTACTGCGCTGTTTCTATCTGAGTTACACGCACGCTTGGTTACGTGTGACAGGGTAGGCAGGTTTTATATACTAGCTGACAGTACTAGGTTGAACAGGACTTATCAGGTATGCCCACCGATAAAATTATTTATTGTATTATCAATTCTACAATCGAAAGAGATAGTATCTTTGAAATCTAGCTACGGAGTCTGTTAGTTTCATAGTGGGTCGTTTTATTTCATTTCTTTGAATTTTGGAATATACAGTCTGGATTTGACACCTTCTTCTTAATTATAAATTTGTAAATTGAAAATTCGGACGTTTCGAGTTTGTAAATTGAACATTTGAATGTTCCTTTGTAAATTGTACATTTTTATATTCCACGTTTGTAAATTAAAGCTTTCCATATTCCAATAAATTCGAAGTACCTATATTCAAAATTGGTAAATTCCTAGAATCCGAATTTATAAATAAAAAATGTCTATATTCCGAATTTGTATATTAGAAATTCCTATATTCTGAATTTCTAAGTTAAACATCCCTATATTCCAAGTTCCTAAATTAAACACATCTACACCGCAAATTTCTACATTCCGTTTTTTTAAATAAAAAATGTCTATATCCCGAATTTGTAAATGAAAAGTTTCTATGTCCCAAATTTCTGTGCTTCAAATTTAATCTTGAACTTTTCAATTAGTTAAATACAACGTCCTTTAGAGAAAACGAACGCCTCACTTCGAACAGACAGCTTCCCGTTCCGAAGTTCTAGAAGTCCTCCAATTACTTATTTCTGAGTTACTGCAAATAGCATTACGGTGGAAAACCGTGGAAAATCGACTTTTACAATGCTTCGGAGAGGAGAGAGATCTCTTAAGGAGGCTCCTTAACGCGCAGATCACTATTTGCCGGTCCACAATAACGCAGACAATGAAACCGAGAACGAGGAGTTACGCGTCTCTTGAATTCGCGCCGGTCTCTCGAGTTTCTTCCCTTATAGAGATTGCGAGGAGTATGACTTTCTCCTGAGCCACGAAGGAAAGTTTCGTTAAAACTCTCCCACGTGCTCCTAAACGCAATCAGTATCGCCAGTTCGTTCGGCAAAAATAATAGAGATAAAGTGCGGATTGTTGTGACCTGTACCGTGTTAAATAGAGACAAGATACACCTATGTCTTCTCGCTATGGCGAACGAAGATTTCACGCTGACTCTTCCGCGATACACCGGTTCCAATTACAGTACGTTGCAAAAGTAATCAGCCAATTTCACCGTGAGATAAACGTTTGCGAAGCTGTAAGTTTTGGAAATTTATATTATTAATCGTGTTGGTAATATTGTTACTACAGCTAGAAACATCTATTCAGGAATTTATATTATTAGTTATATCAATGATATTGTTATTGATAACATAAATAATATTAATTATTGTGAATATTCAGTTTTATTCGATTTTCATGCATTTATGCACGTGCATGTTTCAAATATAAGAAATTGTGTACGTTAGTAACTACTAAATAATTAAGAAAAATTAATAGTATTTTCGTGTTATTTAAAGAAATTTTAAAGACGTCGACTGAAATTTTGTTTGTATGTTTTCATAAAGTGTCCTGGAAAAGAAGAGAATTTCCATGAAGGTT